GCAACATATGTATGTATTTGTATTTATGTTGCACAAGGATCGCGCCTGGTTGATCGCCTTGCATTACGTCAATTGCACAACGTCGGTTGCACCATGTAGACTGCACACCATATAATGGACATCGCATATGCTGCACGACGTATGAAAACATTGGTGCAAGACGCTATATATATACACCTATACGACCACCCTTCGGGTGATAAGGAGGTTCGGGGGGGGGGGAACCAACGTCTCACTCGATCGGTCTCAATATCGATCTCAATATCGATCTCACTATCGGTCTCGCTCGATCGATCTCACTCGATCGATCTCACAATCGATATCACTCGATCTATCTCATTCGATCGATCTCACAATTGATCTCACAATCGATATCACAATCGATTCCACAATCGATCTCACATCCGGTCTCAATATCGAACTCACTATCGATATCACAATCGCTCTCACAATCAACGTCATCATCCTCATCAACAACATCATCAACTTCAACATCATCACCAACATCGTCACCATGAGGGCACCGTCATCATCATCATGAACATCATCATCACCGTCAGCATCATCATCGGGACAACACCATCATCATCACCATCATCATCTCATCATCAGCATCATCATCATCATCGGGACACAGTCATCGTCATCAACATCAGCAGCATCATCAAAATCATCATAATATCTGGTTCACCATCATGATCACCATCGTTCTCATCATCAACATTGCCATCAACATCGTCATCATCCTCGGGACACCATCATCATGATCATCGCATCATCATCATCATGGACATCATCATCATCAACAACAGCATCATCATTGGGGGCACCATCATCATCATGAGCAACATCCTCACCAACATCGTCATTATCATCATTATCATCATCGGGACACCATCAGCATCACCATCATCATCATCACCATCCTCATCCTCATCAGCATCATCACCGGGACACCATAATCATCATCAACATCATCATCATCAACATCATTATCGCCGGGACACCATTTCCATCAACATCATCATCACCAACATCATCGGAATCATCATCATCATCATCGAGACACCATCATCGTCATCATCATCAACATAATCATCATGAGCATCATCATCCTCATCATCGGGACACTATCATCATCATCGACACCATATCAACATCATCATCATCTTCATCGGGACACCATCATCATCATCTCATCATCATCAATCATCATCATCATCATCATCATCATCATATCATCATCATCATCATCATCATCATCATCATCATCCTCGCGGGACACCGCGGGACACCGGCGGGACACCGCGGGACACCGCGGGACACCGCGGGACACCGGGCGGACACCGGCGGGCCACCGGCCGCCCGGAAGGGAGACATTTGGTCCGGCCGCGCCTCAGCCACACGGGACACCAGCGGGACACCGGCGGGACACCGCGGGCCACTGGCCGCCCTGAAGGGAGACATTTGGTCCGGCCGCGCCTCAGCCACAGGAGACTTTCTCTCGCCCGCCCACGCAACTTCGCCTCGCCCGCACGGCACGCACGAACACGAAACCGAAATCGATTTCCCGGTAGGGGGGCTCTCCGTTCCACTTCGATCTCACCCCCTCACCTCCGATATATATATATATATACACACACATAGATGTACGCGTCATAAATTGCACAACGTGGGTTGCACAACCACATAGATTGCACGACATATATTGCATAACGCATGTTGCGCCACGTAGATTGCACCGCGTCGGTTGGACAATATGTTTAGTGTACCACATAAACTGCCGAAGGTAGATTGCAACATATGGGTCGCACGATCCCTTTTTTCGCGCATGCGGCGCTTGTTTCTGATCGCGCAAAAACATATATATATATATATATATATATATATATATATGTATATACATGTATATATATCTATATATATATATCACTACATATATTCTCTTTTCTTACAAACAAATAGATTCGACCCCCCCCCCGGGATAATCGGCCCCCTGCTTTCGTATTGCAGGTTACATACGATACTGTCCCATCGTCCATCCTACGTATGAATTCACACCTTCCCAGGGGGACTGGTGTCACCACCCCGTCATCTTCTGCACAATTACTATGCGTGCGCACTTGTTCACCACAAATCATCAGTTTTCAAGAACCCTTTGCAACAAATGGGACGACGTACGCACGCGCGCGTCGTCGCGCGCGCATGCCGAAATCGTGCAACAACTCTCGGTTTCGTCAGGAATCCAAAATCGACTGTCCCAAAAGAAAATAGCATTACAAGGCTCCGCAACAATGAATTTTCCTAAAATGCATGCGCGCGCGCTCTTGCGAATTCTTCAAAACACCATTGGTTTTTCAACATGTTCATAAAATGCTACCAAGCGGAGCTTCGCGCGCGCGCATATCAAAACTGTTCGAACGTCTTTGCGCGGGCGCTGTCGCAATAATCTCTGTTGCGAAACATGGGACGAAGTGCGCCGCGCGCATCGTCGCGCGCGCATGCCGAAATCCTTCAAAAACCTCCGGTTTCGTAAGGATTTCAAAAACGAATGTCGCGAAACCATACAAAACATATGGCTTCGCACCAACAGATCTCAAAAACAACTGCGTTCGCGATTTTGTGACTTCTTAAGAAAACCATGTTTTTTTCAACTTGGATTTTTGCCAAGCGGGCCTTCCGCGCCGAATACCGAAATCATTTAAACGCCCTTGCGCGCGTGCTGGGGGGGGGCGCACGATCCGTGTCAAAAAATACCAGGCGGGCCACTCTCGCGCGTCGGCCGCGCGCGCATATCGAACTCCTTCCAAACCTTCATCGCCGACGCGAGGACGCCGTCATCGTCGTCGGCGTGATCACCATCGGCGCCGTCACTGGCCGTGCCGTCGTCGTTGTCTACATCTGCCTAACACCGCTACTGCCATCATCGTGTCTACTGTTGTGGACATTGACATGATACCGCGTTCGCGCCGGTCGCGCCAAACTAGCTGGCAGCTGCGCGCGCAAGCATGCGCCGGCTAGCGCGGTCGCAGAGATGCACCAGCCAATACCAAGCACTCGTCGCAATCGCCTCCGCATGGGTTTTGCAAACCAAATCGCGGGTGGGTGGGTGGGATGCTTGCGCGAGCAGAGGAGTCGACAACTTCAAGGCCGGAAGGGTGAATTGCACATCGTAGCTGGCACCGCGTATACTGCACACCGTAGTTACACCAGGCAGATTGCAGCCAATAGGTTGCACTACGTCGGTTGCACAGCATACACCACACCCAATGGATGACGCCACACAGATTGCACAACATACGTTGCTAGAACCACACTGTTTGGCCTTACGCTACTTTCGCTGCCGGAAATGCCCCGTTCGAAGACAGCTGTCCAAGAGTCCCCAACCCAAACCACCCCTCACCAACGCCGCGAGTTCACGTTTACTCTTGCGTCCTGGCGACCCTGCGTCGTGCAAAAAAACAACCCTGGGACTGCAGCAGTGCGAATAAACATGGTTGTCGCTCCCTGACAATTCTACTTCAAACATAAAAACAGATCGAACACCTTTCATCGTGTCAGACGAATGCGCGCGGCGCTAAAAGCGACAACCACACCTTGAAAAAGGAACCCCTCCCAGTCCGCGAAGCGCGTGCAAACGTTTAGAACGAATGAGCGCGGCGTTACGGCGAAAGCCGCATTTTGAAAAGGAGCCGCCCTCCATCAGTAAAGCTTTTGCAAGCTTTGAAAATGAATGCGCGCGGCCCTACGAGAAGCACCTTTTGAAAAGAAACCATCCCCCATCCGTGCAACATCTGCCAGGCTTTAAGAATAATGTGCGCGACACTAAGGCGAGATCCGCATTCTGAATAGGAGCCGCCATCCATCCGAAGCGAACTTGTCAAACAATTGCGCGCGGAACTACGGCGGCAACCACATGTTGTAAACCGCCCGCCCTCATGCACACATTTAGGATGAATGCGCACGGCGCTTCGGCGAGAACCACATTTTGAGAAGGAACCGCATTCGATCCGTGAAGCATTTGCCAGCTTTAAAGACGAATGCGCGCACCGCTAAGGCAAGATCCGTGAAGCGCCAGCAAACTTTTCAAACAAATGCGCGCGGCGCAACGGCGAGAACCACAATTTGAAAATCACCCGCCCTCCATCCGTAAAATGCATGCACACTTGTAGGACGAATGCGTGCGGCGCTACGGCGAGAGCCACATGTTCAAAAGGAGCCGCCATCCATCCGTGAAGCTCATGTAAACTTTTAGGACCAACGTGCGCGGCGCTAGGACGAGAAGCGCATGCTAACCCCCCCCCCAGCCATCCGTGAAACTCATGCAACCCTTTAGGACGAATGTGCGCGACGCTGAGGCGAGAGCCACATTTCGAAAAGCACCTGCGCTACATGACTGAAAATCTTGCGAACTTTGAGAACGAATGTGCGCGGCGCTAAGGCGACAGCCACTCATTGAATGCCAGCCGCCATACGTCCGTGAAGCTGCTGCAAATTTCAAGCCTCAGGACCATAAGCGGTGAATGGTGAGGAAGTCTGAAGCGAACCACTCGGCCCGCCTTACTGACATGTCTCAAGGTACGACGAAGAGCATGACTTATGAGGAGCAGGGATGGAGGCGGAGTGGCAGCGGCGCGATGAGGGAGGAATCCGGCACCACGAAGGGGTGCGGGCACGGCTCGCGAGCTCACAGGCTGAGCCTGTCCATGGCGGCGGCGAGGCCTTGTGGTGATTGCTGTAGCTGTGGTCGATGTTCGAATCTTGATCTCGAGGTAGATGTAGCAGTAGGAGGGAAAAAAAGGAGGAGGAGGAGGAGGATAGGGAGGCGGAGGAGGCGGAGGAGGAGGAGGAGGAGGAGGAGGAGGAGCAGGAGGAGGAGGAGGAGGCGGAGGAGCGGAGGAGGAGGATGAGGAAGAGGAGGAGGAAGGGGAGGAGGAGGAGGAGGAGGATGAGGACGACGACGACGAGGGCGAAGAGCAGGACCAGAGCGGGGCGGCGTCCTTGTCTGGCAGATCCAGGAAGGCGCACTTGAAGTCCTGAAGGGGGCGTCGGCGCCCCGCACCCGGGCGGAGCCGGAGGCTGCCCGTCGCGTCTCCGGCCCAAGACGTCCCCGAAATCTCCCAAGGAGGCCCTCACGGCAGACGTGTCCCCAGCCCTTTTCTCCGTCGCTCGGCGGCGCGCCCAAGGGGGTGGAGGGGGGGGGGGGGGGGGGGCTCCTTAGAAGGAGGCTGCCCTCAGAAGGCGGCGGCCCTGTGTCTACAGAGAGGGCCCGCGCCTTCTAGGAAGCAGGAGTGCTTCTAAGGAGCCCTCCCCCCTGCCCCCGCCCCCCCTCTGCGCGTGGCCGAGTCGCAGCGCGGCAGAGGCAATCCGCACGCGGGTTCCAGTAGCCCGGGCGAGGCGCACGGGCTGTCCGGCGGCGCGACGAGGGGGAGGGAGGCGGAGGGCGGCCGCAGAAAGCGGGCGGGGGAGGAGGACTCTCACCGTGTCCCTGGCCCAAGGGGAGGAGGAGGGAGGGAGGAGGAGGAGGAGGAGGAGAGGAGGAGGAGAGGAGGAGGAGGGAGGAGGAGGGGAGGAGGAGGAGGAGGAGGGAGGGGGGAGGGGGGGGGAGGAGGAAGGAGGAGGAGAGGAGGAGGAGGAGGAGGAGGAGGAGGAGGAGGGAGGGAGGAGGAGGAGGAGGAGAGGAGGGAGAGGAGGAGGAGGGAGGAGGAGGAAGGAGGAGAGGAGGATGGGAGGAGGAGAGGAGAAAGAGAGGAGGAGGAGGGTGTCCACAGAATTCCCAGGGAGGCCCCCGCGGCCTCCAGGGCAAACCCCTCACGAGGCCCACGAGGGCCCCAGGGCCTCCAAAATGGAGCGGAACTCTCAGGGCGGTTTGGGTCGGAGGCACACCGTCTGCTCCCCCCGAAGGGAGGATCACCAGGGGGGGGGGGCTCGGGCCGCGAGGCCGGCCCGAAGTCGAGCGCGCGTCTGGGGCCGGAGGCCCAGAAACCCCGCGTGGCCTTCTGGGCTGCGGCCGGCGGGCGGAGGAAAGCTCTGGGCATCCCAGACCCAGTCGCCTGCTCCTGGTCCTCCACAGCCTCCTCGGCGTCTCCGCGTCCTCCTCTTCCTCCTCGGCCTCCTCAGCCTCATCCTCCTCAGGCTGCTCAGCCTCTTCAGCATCTTTGGCCTATTCCTCCTCCTCCTCCTCCTCCTCCTCCTCCTCCTCCTCCTCCTCTGGCCCCTCCTCCGCCTCGCCCTGCTGCTCATCTTCCTCCTCGAAGATCGAAGCCGCGGACTGTTTCACCCACGAACTGGCGAAGTCCTCGACCCCCTCCTCCTCCTCCTTCTCCTGCTCCTCCCCCTCCTCCTCCTCCTCCTCCTCCTCCTCCTCCTCCTCCTCCTCCTCCTCCTCCTCCTCGGTATGTCGAGGGCTGCGGCTGGGCCGCCGCGAGCTCCGCTCTTGGACCGATATCCAGGATGGCCGCCCCTGCAGCCCATGGGAAAAGTGGGGGGAAGAGGATGATGAGAAATGGGGAGGAAGAAGAGGAAGGAGTAGTGTCAGCTTCCAAGCACTTTTACGGCGTCCCCCCCCCCGTCTTCTGCGCAGGTCCCTCTGTCCCCGCGTCTCCCTGCTTCTCCTCTGCCCCCCCTCCCCCCAGACCCCCGCCGTCATGATTTCTTCGCAGCGTGGACCCATGAAGGACTCGATCCATTCCCAGGACCCGCGTTTCATGCCGAGTCGCGTTCCGACAGTCCCGGCCCCCGGGAGATCGACAGTGGCAGCAACAGCCTGCCGTCGCGGGTGCTTCCGCGACGCGACGGGGTCTGGGTCTCCCCTATGGGTGCTTCTCCTCCTCCCCTCCTTCTCCTCCTCCTCCTCCTTTTCCCCTATGGGTGCTTCTCCTCTTCCCCTCGCCCAACCCGCTCGGGTCGGTGCCCGTCCAGGCCCCTGGAACCTCGACAGCCTCTCGGTGGCAACACCCCCGGCGTGGGGCGCCCCTGAGCGCCGGGCCTGGACCCTGGCGCCTGCCGGGCAGGATAGGGAGGCGGATAACCAGGGTGAGCGCCAGGAATGGACGAGAAGAAAAAGGAGGAGGAGGAGGAGGAAAAGGAGGAGGAGGAGGAGGCGGAGGATGAGGAGGAGGAAAAGGAGGAGGAGGCGGAGGAGAAGGAGGAGGAGGAGGAGCGCACGTATCACGGTGAGATTGGATCACCACTGCAATACGTGAATCAGCAGCCCGCAGGGCGGGCAATGAGAGAAGGCGGAAGCCCCTTACAGAATTGCCTCGCGGATGATGAAGTAGCGGATGACGCGGCACAGCACGACGAGGTGCCAGGAGGAGGAGGAGGAGGAGGAGGAGGAGAAGAAGAAGGAAGAGGAGGAGGAAGGGGAAGGAGGAGAAGGAAGGAGGAGGAGGGGCAGCGGCAGCTGCTTCAGGATCAGCGGAGTGTCCTGGAGGTTCCTCTCGGCCCAGTTGACAGGCACAAGCTTGTTGTTCCAGTCGCTGTCACCCCAATCGCCGCCCTCCCCCATGGCCTCGGCTCTCTCTCTCTCTCTCTCTCTCTCTCTCTCTCTTTATATATATATATATATATATATATGTGTGTGTGTGTGTGTGTGTGTGTTTGCTGTGTTTTCGCATTCATGCAGACACACATACATACCTACAGGCCTACATACATACATACATGGATATACGTATACATACATACATCGATACATGCATGCATACATACATACGTACATACATACATACATACATACATACATACATACGTACGTACATACGTCCATACCTACACATACACATACATACATACCGCCAGGCATACACGCAGGCAGACAGACAGGCAGACCTACATACAAACACACACACATACAAACATGCATGCATGCGTGCGCGCATGCATACATACATACATACATACATACATACATACATACATAGATATATGCATATGTGTTTCCATGCACACTTTTATACACATGAAAATGCACACATACATACGCACATACACACATGCATACATCACTCCATCCATGCACACATACCGTCATACATGCATACACGCAATCATGTATACATACAGACATACATGCGCACGTACATACACATCCATAAACACACATGTATGCATGCACGCATACATACATACATGCATGCGCACATACATACACACAGCCATACGCATCCATACATGTATGCATACATAACTGCATGCAGACATACACACTCACATGCATGCAGACAGACGCGCACACATACATACATACACATACACACATGCATGCACACAAAAGCACATACATACATACATACATACATGCATGCATACATACATACATACATGCGTACATGCATACACGCATATATACATACATGCATGCGTGCATAGATGCATACACTCATACACATGCACGTACACATACACATACACACATTCAAACATATACGCATGCATCCACCAATCCATCCATATACACGTACATTCCTACATGCATGCGTGCCTTCATATATACATACAAGCATACATGCGTACGCACATACACAAATATATAAACGCACACGCATGCATACACACATACATACATACGTGCACGCGCACAAACATACACACATTCACACATGCACACATTCATGTATATATAAATACATACTCACATGTGCGCATACAGACGCGCACATACATACAAACACATACACACATCCATACATGAATTCACACGTACACGCACACATACCTGCCACGCATATATGCATATGTATATAGAAGATTTGACCGGCTCGCTGCGCTTCGCCTTTAAAATCTTGGTCGCATGGCGCCAGAATGGCGCGAGAATATCCGTTGTCGTCACATTCGCGGTGTGGTTCGGCTACCGCGCCCATGGAGGAGACAGGGGCTGATGGGACCCATTGCATTTTGCGGCCCAGAGAGCCCAGAACGGTGGAGGCCGTTATGGAGCGCAAGAGCTCGGAGGTCGAATTGGGGCAAAGGGTAATTCAGCAATTGCGGCTCCTGGGGTGCCTGAGACTCATAGGGTTCATGGGGCTCCTGGGGCTCGTTGAGGTTGTGGGTCTTTCAGTGCGTATCGGTCAAGGGGCGCTTAATGCTCAGGTCGCTTATGCAGGGGTCATGGGGGTCATAGGGCTCGCGGTGCTCATGGGACTCCTGGGGCTCCTTGAGGTTATCGGCTCGTGAAGGTCACTGGGCTCATAAGGCTCGCGATGCTCAGGGGGGGCAGAGGCCCAGTTCGCCAACAGAGCGCGTAGACCTCGTAGGGCCCATGGGGCCCATCGGGGTCAAGAGGCACGTGGGGCCCATAGGGCTCGTGAGCTTATAGGGTGTATGAGGCGCACAGGGCGCGTAAGTCTCGGAGGGCTCATGGGGGGGGGCCCAAGGGGTCCTAAGGCCAGAGGGCTCCCCGAGGTCATGGGTTCCCAGGGGCTCATGGGGCACCGTCGGGCACCAAAGGGCACCACAAGGGTTATCGGGTTTCTTGGGGTCTTAGGGCGCAGAGGTCTCATACGGCTCAGTAGGCGCAGTAGGCTCATTGGGGTCATGGGGCTCGTGAGGATCATGGGGCTCTTGAGGGTCATGGGGGTGAGAGTGCTCACAGGGCTACTGGGCTCATAGGGGTTCACAGGGATCATAGGGGGCATAGGGCTCATAGGGCTGAGAGGGCCGATCGGGCGGATATGAATGATAGGGGTCATAGGGGTCGTACGGCTCATGGGACAGTCGGGGCTCATGGGGCTTGTGGATCTCACAGGGGTCACTGGGGTCATAGGGCTCGTAGGGCTCACAGTGATCATCATGGGGGCTTGTAGGGCTCATAGGGCTCATTGAGGTGACATGGATCATGGGGCCTAGTGGGCTCATAGGGCTCAGACGGGTCGTAAAGCTCATTGGGTTCATAGGGCTTTTGGGGCTCATGAGGATCATGAGGCTCATAGGGGTCACCGAAGTCATAGGACGCATGGGGCTCATGGGGCACCAAAGGGCACCACAGGAGAGCCTCGTGGGGCGTCTCGAGAGCATCTTGGGCCGTCTTGGAGCCATTCTGGAGCAGTCGTGGATCGTTCCGGAGCGGTCTCGGGCGCCGTATTCTTATTCCACGAATCTAACACACAACGTTGCGAATATCAATGAGGATTGCCTCTCGGGGCCTTTGGGAGGTTCCTTTTGGGACTCTCTTGGGCCGTCTGGCGGCTCTCCTGGGCCGTCCCTGGACTCTCTTGGGCCGTACTTGGGGGCTTGGGCCGTCTTCAGGCCCCCTGGGACGCTCTTGGGGGCGTCCCTCGGCTTCTTGGGGCTCGCTTGGAATCTTTTTGGGGCTCTTGGGGGCGGTCTTGGGGTTCTCTGGGGCCGATTGGTGCCCTTCGGGATTGCCTTGGGGCCCTCTTGGGGACGTGTTGGGCCGTCCTGGGGCGGTCTTGGGGGCCTCTTGGGCCGTCTTGGACGCCGTGAAAGCCAAAGAAGCGAATCTGCTAAAATTGTCAGTTGTCCTATGGGAATGGGACAAGTTTTGCCTCTTGGGGGTCTCCTTGAGGGCCTCTTTGGGCGTCTTGGGAGCCTCTTGGACCGTCTTGAAGCCACCTTGAGGCCTCTGTGAGCGCTAATGGGCCGTCTCGGGGCTTTGCGGGACCGTCCGGGAAGCAATCCTGGGCCCGCTCGGGCGGTGTAGGATGGCCGGGAGGGGCTCCCGGAATCGAAAAATCGAATTTCACGTCGGTGGGAGCGCCCAGGGCCGAATTTATGTAGGGGGTTCCTTACAATGATATTCGAAGAGGAATATATATATATATACACATATATATACATATATTCATGGATGTATCATGCATGCATGCATGCACACATACATGTACATATATGCATACACACATACCTACATAGATTCATACAGACATACGCACATACATACATGCATACATACATACATACACACAGGTATACATACATACGTACACACACATCAATACATACATGCATACATGTATACGTGCATGCATGCATGTCTACACACAGGCATGCATGCATGCATACATACATACAACCATACAACAGTACAAGCACTCAACTGTGCATACATACATATATACATACATGCATACATACATACATACATACATACATACATGCATGCATATATACACACATACACACATACACACATACACACACATACACACACATACACATATACATACATACATACATACATACATACATACACACACATACATACATACATACATACATACATACATACATACATGCATACATACATACATACACACACATACATACATACACACACACATACATACATACATACACACATACATACATCCATACATACCTACATATATACATACATACATAGTTACATACATGCATACATGCATACATACACACATACATACATACACGTACATACATACAAACATACATACATACATACACACACATACATACACACCTATACGCATGCGCACATGCATACACACGTACACATACAAACATGCGTACTACATTCGTGCACGCATGCATGCATGCAACTATACACACGCACATACATGTATACATACATACGTATGCATACAACACAAAACAACTGTACAACACACGCACGTGATACCGAGTGCCCCCCCTGATGGGCCACATGGCGAGCCATTGATGTAAATGCTTGAACAGCAAAGGCGGTGGATGCACAGGCGCTTCCTGACATATCTCACGACGGACACATCCGCACATGCGGGCGCAGGATGAAATGGGGAGAGGAGGCGCGGGACGAGAATGCTCAGCGCGCGAAGGAGAAGCAGCAGCAGGAAGCGTCAATAGCTGGAGAGCAGGAAGAGGAGGACAACGAGGATGGCGAGTACGAGCAGGAGCAGGATGATGGCGACGATAATTAAGGGAGCACCATAATGTAGAGGGACCGGAGGGCGAGGATGGCTGGAAGGGCACGGGCCACAAGTGGAGGAAGACCGAAGCGGCTTGTCCTCCTCTCCTTCCCTTCCCCCTCGTTTTCCTCTCTCCCGCCCTCCGTTTTCCTCTCTCCCTCGCCCTCCCTTCCCCCCCGCCTCCTCCTCCCCCCCTCCACCCTCCCGCCTCCGTCCTTCCCCTCCCATCCCGCCTCCGCCTCTCCCGCCCCGCCACTGCCCCCCCCGCCTCACCGTACTCCTCCCGGCGCTCGCGACCCCCCGCCCCCCACCCTCCCACGGTCCCCCCCCGCCCTCCCCCCGCCCTCCCCAGACCCCCGACGTCGTGATTTTTTCACAACGTCGACCCCCAGAGGTCTGGACCCCGCCCCCGGGACGAGTTTTTCGTCCTGGGTCGTTTTGTTGACGGCCCCGAGGCCCAGGAAGGGCCCCCGGAGGCCGAAACTATGGAAAAACCGCCCGTCGCGACTTTTTCGCAACGCGAGGAGGTCTGGGTCCCCGAGCGGCGGGAAGCCGGGGTCGTCGAGACCGCGGCCTCGCTGCCGCCGCGGCCCGAGCGCCGCGGGGGCGGAGGGCGCTGCGCCGTCGCGGCGCGGCACGCCGGCGGGCTCCGCGCGCGCGCGCTCCGCCGCACGCGCGGGCGAGGCCCCGGCTGGGGAGCGGCCCCGGGGGCAGAGGGGGGGCTCGCGGCTCGGGGGGCCCAGAGGGGAAAGAGGGAGGAGGGAGGAGGGGGCGGGGATGGAGGGGGCGGGGGGGGGAGGCGGAGGAGGAGGAGGAGGACGAGGAGGAGAAGGAGGAGGAGGAGAAGAGGAGGAAGAGTGGGCGGGCATGGAGGAGGAGGAGGAGGAGGAGGAGGAGGCGGAGGAGGAGGAGGAGGAGGAGGAGGAGGAGGAGCAGGAGGAGGAGAGGAGGAGGAAGAGTGGGCGGGGATGGAAGAGGAGGAGGAGGAGGAGAGCGGAGGAGGAGGAGAGGAGGAGGAGGAGGGGGAGGAGGAGGAGAACCAGTGTAAACCCAAGAGTCATCGACGATGTTGGAATTAACCCTCCCTCCAAGCTCCCTCTTCATAGGCACCTACAGCGGTTCATTTCCATTGAGGGAACTGCCTCGTTGGAAGGCAACCGTTCGAAGAGCCCCACATGAAGAACGCCTTGCCAGAAGAGCTACGCCAGCGACCCCGGCCGCTCCCATCGCGCAATACCTGCGGCCGATCGCGTTCAACATGAATAATTATCTTCGCCGTGCCATCCAGCCCGCGATCCGCGCGCAGCGCAAACTTAGGGACCTCTGACTGGCAGCACCCAGCCACCCAAGTAGCAAAGCATCGGCCACTTGGGATACCTGACGTTGCCGAGGAAACGCGTGATCTCAGCGACCTATGCGGCAATTGGGCGCATATCTGCCTCCTCATTGCTCGCCTCCGCGCCGGCCCTCTGGGCCGTGGCCCTGGCCGCGCGCATTCGTTGATGGGGCCAGGCGCCAATCGAGAGAGGCGCCCGCCTGCCCGCGACCGCCGACGACCTCGGCCCCTCGCCGATATCCTCGCGCTTGCGGCGAAGCTCTTGCCCGCCGAACCGCGGCGCCCCACGCGCCGTTGCGCCTCGACCCCCGCCGAATCATAAGACGCCTGGGGGCCCCTGCTCGACGCGGCTCATCGCGGCGCCCCAGTCATCGCCGATGTCCACCACGTTCTCGGCGCAGAGTGTCCGATGCTCAATCGATCCCAGCCCTCCTGGAACCTCGCGCGCCCGACTGGCGCCACCTCGGGAAAGCACGAGGCCCCGGCGCTCGTCGCATCCAAAGAGACCTCTCCTCTGACGGAAGGGCAGCCTCAGTGGCCGATGCATCTTAACGGCCGCATTCTCGAGAACACATGGCCTCCGCACCTTCGTCGCCAAAGTCTCGCGCACCAGCGCGCGGTCCATGGCGCTGCCGGGGGGTCCTTCGCGCGCGGCCTTCGAGGAGCCGCTTGGGGGCCATTCGCGCCATCTAGCCAGCGGCGCGCAACTGCGAGCGCTGCCGCTTCGTTCTCAAGAGCGACCCCGCCCCGAATGCCACGGGCGCCGCGGCCGCGACTACTCCGCCGGGCGCTTCAAGCAGCGCCCGCAGCAGCGACGCCCCCCATCCGCCGAAGTCAAACTTGCAGCGCGAGGGGAAGCTCCGACAGCGATGCGCGCGGGCACGAGGATTCCAACTCCGCTAAGTAGATCCCTCGCCCTGCTCGGTAGCCGCTGCGCCCGCCCCGCGACGACTCAGCGAAGCCCTGGGCCCATGGCGCGGCCCTGCAGCGCGGGGGGGTTGGCGCCGGAGCCCCGCGCCCCTGTGCCGCTGCAGTCTTGGCCGAGCTATCCTCCAAGAGCGCTTTCAGCGGACCTGCGCCCTCCGTGTTCACCGCGGCCCAGCCCGTCCTCGGGCGGCCTCCTCCTCCTCCTCCTCCTCCTCCTCCTCCTCCTCCTCCTCCTCCTCCTCCTCCTCCTCCTCCTCCTCGCAGAGTTGAAGGAGTGATCGCTCCGTGCGCGATCGCTCCTTCCACTCTGCGAGCGAGGCTTCGCCTGGGACCGCGCTCCCAGACGCGCTCGACGGCCTCGACGCTGCCGGCGCACTGACCACTCCATTCAAATGAGGGTTGTGACTACCTACCAAACCACCCCAACCCAACCCGAAGACCCGAATTTCGGGTTGGGGGGGGTATGGGCTCCATACGTGTTTTTTCGATGTTCCCGGACCCCCCCCCCACTAGAAATCGAAGGTAAATCTGACCCTTCGGGTTGGGTTGGGGTGGTTTGGTGGGTGGTGAGGGTTGGCCCCCGTCCAGCAGCCTCACCGAAGCGATCGGCCCATCATTCCCGCCACCAATCAGCTGGGAATAATCCACGCCAGTATCCAACTTCCCATGGGCCGAGCCAGCGCGACCAGCGCGCGCCTCCCCATAGAGGGAGAGGTCAGTGCCATCTGCCCTGGCAGCCTAGCAAAACATGAGACGCATGCCAGTCGTCCTGCGCGATCGGGCTGCGACGTCACTCTCGCTCTCCAGTTCCCCCAGACTCGCGCATGGGCTGGCGCTCCGAGTGGCGCGCGACGGCATCGAAACTGACGGCGAACCAACAACCCCCTTCAAATGCGAGCTGGCACGGCCGAGCGGCCTCACCGCGTCGCCCGGTCTACCGGCCCACTCGCACATGCGCTCAATCTCGTCGATCCGGTCGAACGATTCGAACTCACCTAACGTCATCCAACGTCATCGACTGGCGCGTTTTACGCACCTCGGCGCTAGCCGTGGGGACAGAAGCGCCCCCCTCCCCCCGCCGCGTCATCTCTGGTGATCCATCATCACCTCACTGGCATTGAAGAAGTCGCCACTACCAAGACAATGCGACCACTCAGTAATGAAGCCTGTGATCCACGATCCAGTCGCTCCGCCAACTCTGCGGCGAGCATCGGGTTCTGAGTAACACGCGCAGCAACATCACGTAACCCAACAACGTCATTCGGAAGCTCTGGCGCTTTCCCCCCAGCCACTCGGGATAGCCCGCCAGCGAGCCTGCCCGCGGCTCCTCCTCCTCCGACGCTCCGTCCAGAGGACACCTGCTGTCCCGAGACTAGGAGCCTGAACCTTCACCTCGGATCTCCTCGCGCTGGATATGATCGGCCGGGTCCGGCTCGCCACAGAGAAACGAGGGCATGACACTGGCTAGCGCCTAGCGCCTGCGCCAGCAACCCATGCTGCGCCAGCAACCTGCCCGGCTCCTCCACGCTGATCTCGGCACCATGCATCTTCTCATGCATGTCGACCTTCCCAGGCGGCTTGACGGAAATCAGCGAGGTCTCGCGGAACCGCATCCGAATGTCCACGACCTCTTTCTCCGCAACCTCCGGCTGTCTCCGCGATGTCTGCAGATTCTCCTGCAGCTCGACGATATGCAGCTGCTTGGCCTCGACCAACTCATTGCCGGACTGCAACTTATTCTCCGTCGCCTTGAGTCTGGTCGTTACCGTTGCGATCTGCGCATGTATGGGCCGGGCCGCCTGTAGTTCAGCATGGGTGTTCTTCTTCTCCGCCTGCAACTTGTGGACCACAGAATGCACCTGCTCATGTGAGCCCCCCCTTTCCCGAACATGCTGAGCTGATCCTCCACCTCCTCAGGCCGCTTCCTCTGCGTAGCGTCTGCCTCAGGAGACAAGGAACCATCTTCGCCCCGGCCCAGCATCTCGACGTCGCCATCGGTGCCCAGGAGAGGTGTCCCCCGCAGTTTCTTGTTCTCCGCCTCGGGCCTCTTGGTATTATCCTCAGGCTCGGGCGCCCTGGGATTACGCCGCACATGATTACCCCAAAGCGGCGCCCTCGTATACGGCACCGCTGACATGACGTTCGAGTGGAAACAATCGCCCTTCCGCAACCCACAGTGAGTACACTACTTGCAGTCTACCGTGCTCCACCAAAATTTCCCCGCCTTGGGCTGCGAACGCCACTTACAATTCCAGCGTACTGCTGCTTCATGGCGAGAGGGCCCCATGCCTCAAGCAGCGGGGCAACGCACAGCCGACCCTTGTTCAAACAAGATGCGGGATCTGGCCTCGGGACCGAGGCATCCATGTGTTCTAGTGCGGAACAAAGCTTGAGCTAGGATGGCGGAAGAAGACAAGGAGGAGGAGGAGGAGGAGGAGGAGGAGGAGGAAGAGGGAGGAGGAGGAGGAGGCAAGCAAACGCTACAAGCTCGTACCTAGAGTCCGCGCATCGTAACAAAAAGGAGGAGGAGGAAGAGGCGGAGGAGGAGGAGGGGGAGGAGGAAAAGGGGGATGGAGAGGGAGAGGGGGAGGGGGAGAGGGGTGGGAAAAGGGGAGGAAAGGAAGGAGGAGAGGGTGAGGTCGAGGGTGAGGAGGAAGGGGAGGAGGAAGGGGAGGGGGAGGAGGGGGAGAAGGGTGGCAGGGAGACGGGGCGGAGTGGGGCGGTCTCCGCCTCCTCCTGCTCCTCCTCATGCTCCTCCTCTTCCTGCTTCCTCCTCCTCCTCCTCCTCCTCCTCCTCCTCCTGCCTCCTCCTCCCTCCTCCTCCTCCTGCCTCCTCCTCCTCCTCCTCCTCCTCCTCCTCCTCCAACCCTGTGAATAGGTCTCCCCTCCCGCGAGACCAGGGGTGTCTATAGGCCAGGCTGGGCGTTTCGCTCGATCCCCCCTCTGCATCCTTTTATCCTGCAGCCAAAAACCTCCAACAGTCACACGGGTGGAGGGCCAGTCGGTTTCAAAGTGGGCCCCTCGCCCAAGCGCCGCGCACATTGGCTCCGAAGCCTGTGACCGCTAGAAGAGAATGGAGGGCCGACCATTTTCAAAACGGAGCCCTCGCGTGAATCAGCGCCGCGCGCCCGCGTGCTCGTGGATGGGAGCCAGTCCGCTTCTCGCCATCGCTCGGACGTCCATTCCCTGTGTTTTTGTTCGGCTTCGTGCGTGGCTTTTTCGCCAAATGATCAAGGATGCTCCTCGATGGTCCACGCCGAAGGAAACATGCACACGCCCGAGCGATGCCAAGGCTCTCAAGATGCAGCTCCCGCTCCAGGTGCTCCTCGCACTCCCGCGCCCGACGTGCCCAGCCGTGCAGCAGCTGCGCGGACGCGGGGCGGCCC